CTGCTTGAACCCAGGGCAGAGGTAGAGCCGCGATCGCGCCACTGAACTCCAGTCTGGGCAACAGAGCGAGACTTGGTCTCAAAACAACAACAGAAAACAGCATCAGCCGGGCGCAATGGCTCATGCTTATAATCCCAGCACTTTTGGGGGCTGAGGTGGGCAGACTGCTAGAGCCCAGGAGCTTGAGGTTGCAGTAAGCTATGATAGTGCCACTGTACTCCGGCCTGGGTTACAGAGCCAGACTTTGTCTCAAAAAATAATGCTACTAATAAACACACAGCAGTACTGGGATTCTCATGCATAGCATTTACTGTGAGATATATTAACTGCACAGAGGCCTCCACGTATATACTGTGCAGTGTAGCTCTCAGCCAGGGGACACCAAGTGACCTCTGGGGATATGTGTGGTTGTCACTACTGGGGGTTACTCCTGATATGGATTGGGTGGAGGCCAGGGATGCTGCCCAGCACCCTTCAGTGCCCAGGATGGCCCCGCCACAGACAAAGAACCCACCCCTAATGTAGAGTCATGCGTGGCAGCTCACGCCTGTAATCCCAGCACTTTGGGAGGCTGAGGCGGGCGGATCACCTGAGGTCAGGAGTTCGAGGCCAGCCTGGCCAAGATGGTGAAACCACATCTCTACTAAAAATACAACAATTAGCCACCTGTGGTGGCGGGTGCCTGTAATCCCAGCTACTCCGGAGGCCGAGCCATGAGAATCACTTGAACATGGGAGGTGGAGGTTGCAGCGAGCCAAGGTCACACCACTGCACTCCAGCATGGTCAACAGAGTAAGACTCCATCTCAAAAATAAATAAATAAACTGGGCACAGTGGCTCACGCCTGTAATCTCAGCACTTTGGTAGGCCAAGGCAGGCAGATTGCCTGAGCTCAGGGGTTGAGGACCAGCCTGAGCAACACGGTGAAACCTCGTTTCTACTAAAAATACAAAAAATTAGCTGGGTATGGTGGTGTGCGCCTATAATCCCAGCTACCTGGGAGGCTGAGGCAGGAGAATCACGTGAACCCGGGAAGCGGAGGTTGCAGTGAGCCAATATCACACCATTGCCCTCCAGCCGGGGCAACAGTGCAAGACTCCATCTCAAAATACATACATACATACATACATACATTTTTAAAATGTAAAAATCGATTTTGCCCATTCCATTTTGCTGGTTGTAACTTGACTACTAGGGTATTTTTTTTTTTTTTTTTTTTTTTTTTTTTGAGACAGAGTTTCGCTCTTTCGCTCTTGTTACCCAGGCTGGAGTGCAATGGCGCGATCTCGGCTCACCGCAACCTCCGCCTCCTGGGTTCAGGCAATTCTCCTGCCTCAGCCTCCTGAGTAGCTGAGATTACAGGCACGTGCCACCATGCCCAGCTAATTTTTTGTATTTTTAGTAGAGACGAGGTTTCACCATGTTGACCAGGATGGTCTCGATCTCTCGACCTCGTGATCCACCCGCCTCGGCCTCCCAAAGTGCTGGGATTACAAGCTTGAGCCACCGCGCCCGGTCGTATTTGTTAATTTATTTTTTATTTTATCTTATTTATTTTTTTTGAGACGGAGTCTCACTCTGTTGCCTGGGCTGGAGTGCAGTGATGCAATCTTGGATCACCGCAACCCCCACCTATTGGGTTCAAGCAATTCTCTTGCCTCAGCCTCCCAAGTAACTGGGATTACAGGCTCATGCCACGATGCCTGGCTAATTTCATTTACTTATTTATTTATTTTGGAGACAGAGTTTTGCTCTGTTCCCCAGGCCGGAGTGCAGTGACCCAATCTCAGTTCACTGCAACCTCCACCTCCCGGGTTCAAGTGACTCTTGCCCCAGCCTCTTAAGTAGCTGGAACTACAGGTGTGCACCACCACACCCAGCTAATTTTTGTATTTTTAGTAGAGACGGGATTTCACCGTGTTGGCCAGGCTGTCATGAATTCCCCACCTCAGATGATCCGCTGCCTCGGCCTCCCAAAGTGCTGGGATTACAGGTGTGAGTCACCACGCCTGGCCTAGGAAATTTAAAATTACATTTGTGGCCAGGTGTGGTGGCTCACACCATAATCTGAGCACTTTGGGAGGCCGAGGCAGGCAGATCACTTGAGGTCAGAAGTTTGAGACCAGCCTGGCCAACATGATGAAACCGCATTTCTACTAAAAACTGCAAAAATTGGCCGGGCGCGGTGGCTCAAGCCTGTAATCCCAGCACTTTGGGAGGCCGAGGCGGGTGGATCACGAGGTCAACAGATCGAGACCAACCTGGTCAACATGGTGAAACCCCGTCTCTACTAAAAATACAAAAAAATTAGCTGGGCATGGTGGCGCGTGCCTGTAATCCCAGCTACTCAGGAGGCTGAGGCAGGAGAATTGCCTGAACCCGGGAGGCAGAGGTTGCGGTGAGCCGAGATCACGCCATTGCACTCCAGCCTGGGTAACAAGAGCGAAACTCCATCTCAAAAAAGAAAAAAAAAAAAAAAACTGCAAAAATTAGCCGGATGTAGTGGTATGCACCTGTAGTCCCAGCTACTCAGAAGGCTGAGGCAGGAGAATCACTTAAATGCAGGAGGCGGAGGTTACAGTCAGCCAAGATCACACCACTGCATTCCAGGCTGGGTGACAGGGTGCGATGGCTCACGCCTGTAATCCTGGCACTTTGGGAGGCCAAGGCGGGCAGATCAGTTGAGGTTAGGAGTTTGAGACCAGCCTGGCCAACATGGTGAAACCCCATCTCAGCCGGGCGCGGTGGCTCAAGCCTGTAATCTCAGCACTTTGGGAGGCCGAGGCGGGTGGATCACGAGGTCAAGAGATCGAGACCATCCTGGTCAACATGGTGAAACCCCGTCTCTACTAAAAATACAAAAAATTAGCTGGGCATGGTGCCTCGTGCCTGTAATCCCAGCTACTCAGGAGGCTGAGGCAGGAGAATTGCCTGAACCCAAGAGGCGGAGGTTGCGGTGAGCCGAGATCGCGCCATTGCACTCCAGCCTGGGTAACATGAGCGAAACTCCGTCTCAAAAAAAAAAAAAGAAACCCCATCTCTACTAATAGTACAAAAATTAGCTGGGCATGGTGGTAAGTGCCTGTAGTCCCAGCTACTCAGGAGGCTGAGGCAGGAGAATCACTTGAACCCAGGAAGTGAAGGTTGCAGTGAGCCAAGATGAAACCACTCCACTCCAGCCTGAGCGACAGATGGTGACTCTGTCTCAAAAACAAAACAAAACAAAAAGGTGGATCAGAGCAGGGCAGACGCAGGGGACAGGGGAGAAGTGGGAGATGCTGGGCAGCGTGAAGACAGAGCCCGTATGGCTTATGATGGATCACGCATGGGCAGATGGCACAGGCTTATCACCAGGAAGACTTTGGCATTGATCCCAAGTATGGGGGAGGAAGCCTAAGCTGCTGTAGGCAGAGGTCCGCAGGATCTGATTCAGGTGTGAGACCCCCAGAGCAGTCCCGGGGCTCTGCAGCAACCTCTGTGAATTACACCAGCACAGAGTGGCTCCCCGTTTGTACTGTCATATCGTGGGCGGTATTTCGTTCTGTTTTGTTTTTGAGACAGGATCTTGCTCTGTCACCCAGGCTGGAGTGCAGAGGCACAATCATGGCTCACTGCAGCCTCAAATTCCTGGGTTCAATTGATTCTCCCGCCTCAGCCTCCTGAATAGCTGGGACTATAGGTGTGTGCCACTACCTCCGCTTAAACATATATATATATATATATATATATATTTTTTTTTTTTTTTTTTTTTTTTTAGACAGAATTTTAGTCTTGTTGCCCAGGCTGGAGTGCAATGGTGCAATCTCGGCTCACTGCAACCTCCATGTCCCAGGTTCAAGCAATTTTCCTGTCGCAGTCTCCAGAGTAACTGGGATTACAGGCGCATGCCACCACACCCAGCTAATTTTTTTTTTTTTTTTGTATTTTTAGTAGATGCGGGGTGTCACCATATTGGCCAGACTGGTCTCAGACTCCTGACCTCAGGTGATCCACCCGCCTCAGCATCCCAAAGTGCTGGGATTACAGGCATGAGCCACTGCACCTGGCCCGTGTGTGTGTGTGTGTGTGTGTGTGTGTGTGTGTTTTTGTTTTTGTTTTTGTTTGCAGAGATGGGGTCTTACAATGTTCCCCAAGCTGGTCTCAAATTCCTGGTCTCAAGTGATCCTCCTGCCATGGCCTCCTAAAGTGCTGGGATTACAGGAATGAGCCACCATGCCCAGCCCCCTTGGTACTGTTGACATTTGGGCTAAACAATTCCTGATAGTGAGGGCCATCCTGGGCACTGCAGTGTGCTGAGCAGCGTTCCTGGCATCCACGCACTCCACCCCAGTAGGACTGGCTTCTCACCCCACCCCCTGTGGTCATGACAGCCAGTACAACCAGACATTAGCAGAGGGGAGAATCCCTCCATGTGGGACCCTGGTCTTGGCACTATGAGACCCCAGTAGGCTGGGGCAGACTTAGGGTGGAAACGGAGGGCTATGCCGGGGTTGGGTCCGGGGAGGTCTTCCCAGTTTCTAGGCATTCAGTGGTAGTTCTGGGGACGGAAGACATGGATGTTTAAACTGCTAGAGTTTGGGGAGGTGGCTGACCACGTGCTGCCCATGTCACGACTCATCTGAGAGTCACCTGTGCAAGACAGAGGGCTTCCTCCCGGTAGAGACTGATAAAGCTTTTTTTTTTTTTTTTTTTTTTTTTTTTTAGATGGAGTTTCACTCTTGTTACCCAGGCTGGAGTGCAATGGCGCGATCTCGGCTCACCGCAACCTCCGCCTCCTGGGTTCAAGCAATTCTCCTGCCTCAGCCTCCCGAGTAGCTGGGATTACAGGCACGCGCCACCATGCCCAGCTGATTTTTTGTATTTTTAGTAGAGACGGCGTTTCACCATGTTGACCAGGATGGTCTCGATCTCTTGACCTCGTGATCCACCCGCCTCGGCCTCCCAGAGTGCTGGGATTACAGGCTTGAGCCACCGTGCCCGGCAAAGCTTTTTTTTTTTAATATTTAAAAGTTTGGATGCTTAATTCTGGTGATCTGGGCTCACGGGTGACACTCGGTCCAGTGGCTGCTGGCCGCTGTCGGAGTCCACCGAGGCGCTGGTGATGATGATGGGAACCTTGGCCGTGAGGCTGGCCAGGGACCAGGGCAGGTGCACGGTGACGGCCAGCTCGTAGTGAGCGTGCATGATGTCACCGTCCTGCGTGCTGCTGCTCACGGGCAGCAACAGCGGCAGCTTGAAGGTGCTGACGATCTTGGTGGTGTTGAAGCGGGTCATGGGGGTGCCGGCCTCCTGCCGCAGAAGCTCGCTGCTGTCCAGCCGAGACCGCCGCTCCGCGCCGGGCGTGAAGCCCTCGTGCTGCACGTGGGCGTACAGGGCGGAGATGACCGTCTTGATGCATTTGCTGGTCTGGTTGTTGATCTCTGTCGTGAAGACGACCTTCTCTCCTGGCGTGAAGGTGTTCTTTTCCATCCGGATTTGCAAGCAGACGGTGCCCCGGCGGCAGCAATCGTAGGAGACTTTCTTCTCAGCCTCCACAACCAAGGGGTTCTAGAAGAGCAGGATGTGTGGGAACACATGACTGTGAGGGATCAGGGCCACAAAATCCACTCGCCTGTCTGATCCAATCTGGGAGCTCCGCAAAGCCTCTGGGGCTTTGGGGGATCTCCAAGGAAGAGGCACTAGATGGAATCTGGAACCCTGGGGATTTTGCAGCCAAAAACCTGGAGTCCTCTCTCCCATCACCTAGTGTCCTTTTTTTCTTTTTTTTGAGACAGAGTCTCGCTCTGTTGCCCAGGCTGGAGTGCAGTGCTATGATCTCGGCTCACTGCAACCTCTGCCTCCCGGGTTCAAGCAATTCTCCTGCCTCAGCCTTCCTAGTAGCTGGAAATACGGGCATGTGCCACCACACCCAGCTAATTTTTGTATTTTTAGTAGACATGGGGTTTTACCATGTTGGCCAGGCTGGTCTTAAACCCCCGACCTCAGGTGGTCCACCTTCCTCAACCTCCCAAAGTGCTGGGATTACAGGCGTGAGCCACCGCATCTGGCCTTCTGTTCTTTTATCTTATAAAAAAATAATAGTTGCGGCCAGGCGCGGTGGCTCACGCCTGTAATTCCAGCACTTTGGGAGGCTGAGGAAGGCAGATTACAAGGCCAAGAGATTGAGATCATCCTGGCCAACACAGTGAAACCTCGTCTCTACCGAAATACAAAAATTAGCTGGGCACGGTGGTGCGCACCTGTAGTCCCAGCTACTCGGGAGGCTGAGGCAGGAGAATTGCTTGAAGCCAGGAGGCGGAGGTTGCAGTGAGCTGAGATCGCACCACTGCACTCCAGCCTGGCGCCTGGCGAAAGAGCATGACTCTGTCTCTAAATAAATAAATAATAGTTGCAACCTGCTAAATGGATTTTTTCTGATATTGCCTATTTCTATTCTAGCCTATTTCTAGTCTTGCCTAGTCTTTGTTTTATAAAAATACGGCCGGGTGCAGTAGCTCACGCCTGTAATCCCAGCACTTTGAAGAGGCCAAGGCAGGAGGATCACTTGAGCCCAGGAGTTTGAGAGCAACCTGGTCAATATAGTGACATCATGTTCCAAATAATAATAGTAATAGGAAAAAGAAGAAGGAGAAGGAGGAGGAGGAGGAGGAGGAGGAGGAGGAGGAAGGGGGAGGAGGAGAAGAGGAAGAAGAAGGAGAGAAAAGAAAGAAAAACACTGGGCCGGGCATGGTGGCTCACGCCTGTAATCCAAGCACTTTAGAGGCCAAGGCAGGTGGATCACCTGAGGACAGGAGTTCAAGACCAGCCTGACCAACATGGTGAAACCCCGTCTTTAAAAAGGAAAAAAAAGGCCGGACGCGGTGGCTCAAGCCTGTAATCCCAGCACTTTGGGAGGCCAAGGCGGGTGGATCACGAGGTCAAGAGATCGAGACCATCCTGGTCAACATGGTGAAACCCCGTCTCTACTAAAAATACAAAAAATTAGCTGGGCATGGTGGCGCGTGCCTGTAATCCCAGCTACTCAGGAGGCTGAGGCAGGAGAATTGCCTGAACCCAGGAGGCGGAGGTTGCAGTAAGCCGAGATCTCGCCACTGCACTCCAGCCTGGGTAACGAGCGAAACTCCATCTCAAAAAGAAAAAAAAAAGAAAAACTAAAAGAAAGAAAGACACTGTAGCAGGAGTTCCTGCCTGCCTCTGGCTTCTCTTCAGCCTTCCCAGGAGCCCCTGGAGCTCCCCCTCCTCTCCTGAAGGTTAATTGCAGTCAGTTTCATTCTAAATCCCTGCAGTCTTATTCGAAAATTCGTAACATGCGTTAGGACCCTATAGGTGTGAAAGACCCACTGCCCTAACTCAAGACATAGCTGGTAGTTCTGTCCTGGTCCTGAAGGAGGTACCAAGAGCTACCAACGTTCTTGTATTTCCAGCTGAGTTATTTTATTTATTTATTTATTTTTTGAGACAGAGTTTCGCTCTTGTTACCCAGGCTGGAGTGCAATGGCGCGATCTCGGCTCACCACAACCTCCGTCTACCTCCTGGGTTCGGGCAATTCTCCTGCCTCAGCCTCCTGAGTAGCTGGGATTACAGGCACGCGCCACCATGCCCAGCTAATTTTTTGTATTTTTAGTAGAGACGGGATTTCCCCCATGTTGACCAGGATGGTCTCGATCTCTTGACCTCGTGATCCACCCACCTTGGCCTCCCAAAGTACTGGGATTACAGGCTTGAGCCACCGCGCCCGGCCTTTCCAACTGAGCTATTAAAAAAAAAAAAAGAAATGTTTTTTTTTAAGTGGAGTCTTGCTCTGTCACCACGGTGGAGTGCAGTGGCGCAAAGTCGGCTCATTGCAACCTCTGCCTCCCGGGTCTAAGCAATTCTTCTGCTTTAGCCTCCCGAGTAGCTGGGACTACAGGTGTGCACCATCACACCCAGCTTGTTTTTGTACAAAGAAGGTTTCACCATATTGGACAGTATGGTCTTTGAACTCCCGACCTTGTGATCCACCCACCTCGGCCGCTCAAAGTGCTGGGATTATAAGCATGAGCCACTGCACCTGGCTTAGACAGTTTCACTCTTGTTGCCCAGGCTAGAATGCAGTGACACGATCTTCACTCACTACAACCTCCACCTCCCAGGTTCAAGCGATTCTTCTGCCTCAGCCTCCGAGTAGCTAGGACTACAGGCACACACCACCACGCCCAGCTAATTTTTGTATTTTTAGTAGAAACAGGGTTTCACCATGTTGGCCAGGCTGTTCTTGATCTCCTGACCTCACGATCAGCCCGCCTCGGCCTCCCATAATGCTGGGATGACAGGCGTGAACCACTGTGCCTGACCTTTTTTTTTTTTTTTTTTTTTTTTAAACAGAGATACCAGCCAGGCATGGTGGCTCACATCTGTAATCCCAGCACTTTGGGAAGCCAAGGCAGGCAGATTTTTTCAGGTCAAGAGTTCAGGACCAGCCTGGCCAACATGGTGAAACCTCGTGCCTACTAAAAGCACAAAAATTAGCCAGGCGTGGTGGCGGGCGTCTGTAGTCCCAGCCTGTAGTCCCAGGCTGTGGCAGGAGAATCACTTGAACCCAGGAGGTAGAGGTTGTATTGAGCGAAGATCATGCCACTGTACTCCAGCCTGGGTGACAGAGTGAGACTCTATCTCAAATAAAAAAAAAAAAAAAAAAAAAAAAAAAAAAAAAAAAAGCCAGCCCTCTGACATCTGTCTTTGTTCTAATGCTCTGATGACAGATGACTCCCTGGAGAGGTGAAGTGACTTTGGCCAATGTCACTCCTCCCACCTGGACTTCACCTCTGCACCTGGACTCAGGAAGGGACCCAGAACGAGTCCTGTGCTCAGCCAAGTGGAGGCTACAAGATCTTTCCTTCTCGCTAGGCACGGTGGCTCACGCCTGTAATCCCAGCACTTTGGGAGGCCGAGGCGGGTGGATCACGAGGTCAAGAGATCGAGACCATCCTGGTCAACATGGTGAAACCCCGTCTCTACTAAAAACTACAAAAAATTAGCTGGGCATGGTGGCGCGTGCCTGTAATCCCAGCTACTCGGGACGCTGAGGCAGGAGAATTGCCTGAACCCAGGAGGTGGAGGTTGCGGTGAGCCGAGATCGCGCCATTGCACTCCAGCCTGGGTGACAAAGTGAGACTCCGTCTCAAAAAAAAAAAAAAAGAAAAGAAAAAAGATCTTTCCTTCTCCTGGACTGAGGCCACCACCTCCACTGTCTGAGAGGTCAAAGGCCAGCGCCAGAGGGCTACCAAGTGTCTAAGCGTCTCTCCCATCCTGAGGGTCACAGTGGGGCCTCTTCTTGGCTTTTCCCAAGGGCTGTGTCTCCTCTTTGACAAGTGGACATTTGGAGCATTCTCCTGGGTGGGGGCTGCCTTGGGCACTGCAGGGTGCTGGGAACATCACTGCAGCATCCCTGGCCTCTACCCACTCCATGCCAGCAGCACCTCCCCACCCAGCTGAGACAACCAAAGATGTCTCCCGACGTGGTCAAATGTCCCTTATGGTGATAAAACAGCTCCAGCTAAAAACCACTGGCTTTGTTCCTGCCCACCTTTCTTTCTTTCTTTCTCTCTCTCTTTCTTTCTTTTCTTCTTTCTCTTTCTTCTCTCTCTCTCTCTCTCTCTCTTCTTTTTCTTTTATTTGTTTTAATATGGAGTCTCCCTCTGTCACCTAGGCTGGAGTGCAGTGGCCCCATCTCGGCTCACTGCAACCTCCGCCTCCCGGGTTCAAGCGATTCTCCAGCCTCAGCCTCCCAGGCAGCTGGGACTACAGATGCCCACCACCATGCCCAGCTAAGTTTTTGTATTTTTAGGAGAGATGGGGGTTTCACCATGTTAGCCAGGATGGTCTCGATCTTCTGACCTCGTGATTCACCTGCCTCCGCTTCCCAAAGTCTGGGATTATAGGCGTCAGCCACTGCACCTGGCTTTGTTTTTTTTTTAAAAGAATATTGGCCAGGTTGGATGGCTCATGCTTGTAATCTCAACACTTTGGGAGGCCAAGGTGGGCGGATCACCAGAGGTTGGGAGTTCGAGACCAGCCTGGCCAACATGGTGAAACCCCATCTCTACTAAAAACACAAAAATTAGCTGGGTGTGGTGGAGCGCATCTGTAATCCCAGCTACTCAGGAGGCTGAGACATGAGAATCGCTTGAACCTGGGAGGTGGAGGTTGCAGTGAGCTGAGATTGTGCCACTGCATTTCAACCTGGCTGACAGAGTGAGGCTCTGTCTCAAAAAAAAAAAAAGGCTGGTGTGGTGGCTCACACCTGTAATTCCACCACTTTGGGAAGCTGAGGCAGGCAGATCATGAGGTCAGGAGATCAAGACAATCCTGGTCAACATGGTGAAACCCTGTCTCTACTAAAATACAAAAAATTAGCCAGGCATGGTGGTCCGAGACTGTAGCCCAGCTACGCGGGAGGCTGAGGCAGAAGAATCACTGGAACCTAGGAGGTGGAGGTTGAAATGAGCTAAGATTGTGCCACTGTACTCTAGCCTGGCAACAGAGCAAGACTCTATCTCAAAAAAAAACCCAAATATCTGTATCTAGATAGATAGATATATACACACACACACGTACACATATGTATATACAGACTCGTACACACAATTTTATTTTACTTTAGAGATGGAGTCTTGCTCTGTTGCCCGGGCTGGAGTGCAGTGTTACAAACATGGCTGACTGTAGCCTTGACGTCTGGCTGCCCTGAGGTTTCTGACTCACCTTTTGTGAAATCATGGGGCCTGGGAAGCCGCCGACACCTTTCCCTTCTCCCTATGGAAACGTCTCTGTCCCCTGCCCGTCCACCTTCCCTCTTCCTCCTTGGAGCTTGGAGAATGTTCCCACCCCCGCCTCTCCCCCATCAGTTACCTGGAATGGGGTTTCTCTGTGGAAGGCAGAAGACCCTTGAACCATTAAGTACATCTTCTTCTTGGCTAAAATGTGTTCCCGGCCCATGCAGGAAGCTTGTACGAAGTAGAAGACGTGGCCAAATTTGCTGGTAAAGGTAGAAGGGAGCCTGGGAGGTAAGTTGAAATGGAAATCAAAGGTGTGGCTGCCTGCACTTAACCAATTATCTGAAAGCGAAACACACCGATGCCATCAGAAGGTTTTGGAATCTTTACTTGGGGGCTCTATTTTAGTATTTATTTATTTATTTATTTTTGTGACATGGCCTTGCTCTGCCATCCAGTCAGGGTGTAGTGGTGTGATCTCATCTCATTGCAACCTCTGTCTCCCCGGTTCAAACAATTCTCCTGCCTCAGCCTCCCGAGTAACTGGGATTACAGGCGTGCGCCACCACACCTGGCTAATTTTTCTGTTTTTGGTAGAGACAGGGTTTTGCCATGTTGGCCAGGCTGCTCTTGAACTCCTGGCTTCAGGTGATCCACCCACCTTGGCCTCCCAAAGTGCTGGGATTACACGCATGAGCCACTCTGCCCGGCCAGAACCAGCAATTTCTCAGCACCTACTGTATACCTGGCCTTATTCTAAACCATTTATGTGTCATTAAATCATTAAGTTCTTAACACAATCTTATGAAATAAGACCTCTTCCTATTCCCATTTTACAGATGGGTTGGCCAGGCACAGTGGCTCATACCTGTAATCCCAGCATTCTGGGAGGCCAAAGCAGGTGGATCATGAAGTCAGGAATTCCAGACCAGCCTGGGCGAGATGGTAAAACCCCATCACTACTAAAAATAGAAAAAAAATAGGCCGGGCACCATGACTCACCCCTGTAATCCCAGCACTCTGGGAGGCCAAGGCGGGTGTTTCACCTGAAGTCGAGAGTTCGAGACCAGCCTGACCAACATGGAGAAACCCGGTCTCTACTAAAAATACAAAATTAGCCGGGCATGGTGGCGCATGCCTCTAATCCCAGCTACTTGGGAGGCTGAGGCAGGACTGTCACTTGAGACCGGGAGGTGGAGGTTGCAGGGAGCCAAGATCACGCCACTGCACTCCAGCCCGGGCAACAGAAGTGAAACTCCGTCTAAAAAAAAAAAAAAAAGGAAAAGGAAAAAATTAGCCAGCATGGTGGCGGGCACCTGTAATCCCAGCTACTCGGGAAGCTGAGGCAGGAATTGCTTGAACCCGGGAGGCAGAGGTTGCAGTCAGCTGAGATCGTGCCACTGCACTCCAGCCTGGGTGACAGAGTGAGACTTCATCTCAAAATAAATAAATAAAATAAAAATATAGATGGGCTAACTGAGAGACAGAGAGGTCACATAATTGCTCAGTGTGAGCGTCTTGGTAAGTTGACGTTTGCCCCCAGGATATTTGCATGGCTGGAGTCCCTGCCATCACTTGGTTCTGTGCAGCACTCCTCTGGTGAAATAGACCATTCTATCTAAAACTGTAAAAGTCTAATGTGTCCAGGTGCGGTGGCTCACACCTGTAATCCCAATACTTCGGGAGGCCAAGGTAGAAAGCTTCACTTGAGCTCAGGAGTTTCAGACCAGCCTGGGCAACATAGGGAGCTCTTGTCTGTACAAAAGATACAAAAACTAACCAGGCGTGGTGGCATGTGGCTGTGGTCCCAGACACTCAGGAAGCTGAGGTGGGAGGATCGCTTAAGCCAGAGAGGTTGAGGCTGCAGTGAGCTGTGATCACACCACTGCCCTCTAGCCTGGCGGACAGAGCAAGGCCCTGTCTCAAAAATAAATTCATAGATAAACTAAATTAAATTACGCTTTGTTCAGCCAAGTGTTGGCCATGTGTTCTGCTTGACTGCATAATACCTGGGAATAGCCTGGGCGCGGTGGCTCACGCCTTTAATCCCAGCACTTTGGGAGGCCCAGGCAGGCGGATCATGAGGTGAAGAGATTGAGACCATCCTGGCCAATATGGTGAAACCCTGTCTCTACCAAAAATAAAAAAAATTAGCTGGGTGTGGTGGCATACGCCTGCAGTCCCAGCTTCTCGGGAGGCTGAGGCTGGAGAATCGTTTGAACCCGGGAGGCGGAGGTTACAGTGAGCCGAGATGGCGCCACTTCACTCCAGCCTGGGTGACAGAGAGAGATTCTGTCTCAAAAACAAAAAACAAAAAACAAAAAAACCCAACAACCCGGGAATATCCCCACAAACACATTTTGAAAAGGCCGTATAATATACCCCACAGCTCAGCAGACTCTCTGACATTTGTTCGGACTTGAGATGTGAATTGCTGGCACTGAAGACTATCCCTGGAAGGCCTCCCTCACTCTTCTACCTCCACCATCTTTCGCCTTTTTGAGATGGAATCTCGATCTGTCACCCGAGCTGGCGAGCAGTGGCAAGATCTTGGTTCATTGCAACCTCCAGCCCCCGAGTTCAAGTGATTCTCTTGCCTCAGCCTCCCGAGTAGTTGGGATTACAGGCATGCACAGCACTCCTCGCTCGTTTTTTGGTGTTTTTTTTTTTGGCAGAGATGGGGTTTTGCCACATTGGCCAGGCTGGTCTTAAACTCCTGACCTCAAGTGATCCTCCTGCCTCGGCCTCCCAAAGTGCCGGAATTACAGTCATGAGCCACCACATCCGGCCTGCCTCCACTGTCTTACCCCATGAATAAAGGACTCCCTACTTTGACTCCTGGGGTTTTGCTGTCAGAGTGAAACTTATCTGTAAAATATTAAGACTTCTGCCGGGCGCAGTGGCTCACGCCTGTAATCCCAGCACTTTGGGAGGCCAAGGTGGGTGGATCACGAGGTCAAGAGATCGAGACCATCCTGGTCAACATGCTGAAACCCCGTCTCTACTAAAAATACAAAACATTAGCTGGGCATGGTGGCGCGTGCCTGTAATCCCAGCTACTCAGGAGGCTGAGGCAGGAGAATTGCCTGAACCCAGGAGGCGGAGGTTGCGGTGAGCCGAGATCGCGCCATTGCACTCCAGCCTGGGTAACAAGAGCGAAACACCGTCTCAAAAAAAAAAAAAAAAAAAGACTTCTTAAGGGCCTCTCAGAGGCAGTCATAGGACTAAGCCTTTTCCAAGGAGACTACTTAGAACCATCATTTTGAATATCTAGGTCTGATCAGCTCCTTGTGTCTTGTTATTTTCATGTTTTGTGCATCTGCTGGTCATTGTTCTACATGGCCTCCCTCCTAGGGAGAAATCAGGCCACTGCCTATTTCTGGTAGCCCTGGAGGTTTGTTGATTGACTCCTGGATGTGTTTATTTTCCAGATCCAGGTTCCTATCATGGCTAAGCGTGGCTGGTGGCCTTGTCCTTACCCTCCACTGGGAATGTCTTTGTCTTATGCACGTAGTCTGCCTTGTTGTTGCAAATAACATTTCTGCTATAATCTTGGGATGCTCCAGCTTCTTCACGCCACTCGACGTAACCCCTTCCCACGAGCTCCACCTTCACCATGGGGTCCACTAGGGTGCTGTTCAGGGTTAAAATCACCTGCCCTTTTATGCTGGAGCCGGCCGGGTAGATTGCATCCTGGGGGAGCACCAATTCGACTGACTTCACCACAGACATGGGGGGTTGGGGCGGTAGAGAAACATCCCTCTCCCTCCCCCATGTCCCTGAAATTCCCGGTTCCTTGGCCCTAGAAAGGTAATCCATCTATGACATCACTCAGCTCAGAGTTCCGGGAAGGGGGAGATCCCAATGGCCAGGAGGGGAGGCAAGGCTGTTGGTTAGGGTGGGTGGTGGCTTGGGAAATTTGTAGTCCCCACTGGTTCTTTTTTTTTTTTTTTTTTGAGATGGAGTCTCACTGCCACCCATGGCTAATTTTTTTGTATTTTTATTTATTTTCTTTTATTTTTTGAGATGGTCTCACCCTGTCACCCAGGCTGGAGTGCAGTGGCCAAATCTTGGGTCACTGCAACTTCTACCTCCCAGGCTCAAGCAATTCTCCTGACTCAGCCTCCCAAGTAGCTGGGATTACAGATGCCCACCACCATGCCCGACTACTTTTTGTATTTTTTGTAGAGACAGGGTTTCGCCATGTTGTCCAGGATGGTTTTGGTCTCTTGACCTAGTGATCTGCCTGTCTCAGCCTCCCAAAGTGCTGGGATTACAGGCGTGAGCCACCTTGCCTCCTGGCCTTTTTTTTTTTTGGAGACGAAGTCTTGCTCTATGGCCCAGGCTGCAGTACAGTGGTGCCACCTCAGCTCACTGCAACCTCCACCTCCTGGGTTCCAGCGATTCTCCTGCCTCAGCCTCCCAAGTAGCTAGGATTACAGGCATGCACCACCACACCTGGCTAATGTTTTGTATTTTAGTAGAAATGGGGTTTCATCATGTTGGCCAGGCTGGTCTCGAACTCTTGACCTCAGGCGATCTGCCCACCTCGGCCTCCCAGACATTTCTCTTTATGCCTGCATCTCCCCCATTGTATGGGAAGTCCCTCTAGGGTGAGACTTTGTCTAAGTGAACATTGTGCTCACCAGCGTCTGCGTGACCCAGGCAGGATCTGGCTCAGACAGGCGCCAGGAGTAGGGCGGGATTAATGAAAGTTTGTTGAATGACTTAATGACCTCTGAGAATGTATCATTTTGCAAAAGGGAAACTGAGGCCCTTTGGACTCTAGCAGTTATTCCTGGCACCTGATTTGCATGTGGGCCGGTGCCTGAGAGGGAGGGATATTGAATTATAGGAGGTGCTAGGAAGTACCCATTCTCTAGCCTGGAAGTCCTCGTTCCTTGTCTTGGCTGTACCTTGCTTTATTTTATGTGATGGCATTTGTGGCATTGACATCTTGCTTCCCTAAGTCAAGCTTGTCCAACCCTCGACCCACTGGCCACACGTGGCCCAGGATGGATATGGCCCAACACAAATTCATCAACTTTCTTAAAACATTACGAAATTTTTGTGCAATTTTTCTTTTTTTTTTTTCAAGACAGAGTTTCACTTTTGTTGCCCAAGCTCAGCTCACTGCAACCTCCACCTCCCAGATTCAAGCGATTCTCTCCCTCAGCCTCCTGAGTAGCTGGGACTACAGGTGCGTGCCACTACGCCTGGCTAATTTTTGTTTTGTTTTGTTTTGTTTTGTTATGTTTTTTGAGACAGAGTGTCTCGCTCTGTTGCCCAGGCTGGAGTGCAGTGGTGTGATCTCAGCTCACTGCAACCTCCACCTCCAGAGTTCAAGAGATTATCCTGCCTCAGCCTCCTGAGTAGCCGGGACTATCAGCGCATGCCACCATGCCTGGCCAATTTTTTGTATTTTTAGTGGGAGATGGATTTTCACTGTGTTAGCCAGGATGGTCTCGATCTCCTGATCTCGTGATCCGCCGACCTTGACCTCCCAAAGTGCTGGGATTACGAGTGTGAGGCGTGGCGCCTGGCTAGTGTTAGTGGATTTTATGTGTGGCCCGAGACAATTCTTCCTGTGTGGCCCAGAGGAACCAAAAGATTGGACACACCTGCGCTAAGCAGTTTGTGAGCTTTTTTTCAGAGATGCCTGGAATAGTTTGTTACTCATGTTTTTAAATGATTCACTTGAACAATTATTACTGTTTTTTGAAACAGGTTGGAGTGCAGTGGTGCAATCATGGCTCACTATGTCCTTGATCTTCCAGGCTCAAGAGATCCTTCTGTATCAGCCTCCTGAGTAGCTGGGACTACAGGCGCACACCGCCATGCCTGGCTCATTTATTTCTATTTTTTTTAGAGACAGGGTCTCACTATGTTACCCAGGCTGGTCTTGAACTCCCCGGGTGCAGGAGATCAGTCTTCCTTGGCCTCCCAAAGTGCTGGGATTACAGGTGTGAGCCATCGCACCTAGCTGGGCAATTATTAACCTGAGCAAATCTGAGAAATTTTGACTTTCTCAAGGTAATTAGGGAACTGGAGCCCTCAATCAACAGCCTTCAATATCTTTCCTGCGGGAGAGCTAGATACCTCCTCTGTGATACTTACCTTTTGCTGGCCAAGGTGCCTGGGCTGTGCCCCTCACCACATGTACATGAAAACGAATTCCCTGGCCAGGTGTGGTGGCTCACGACTGTAATCCCAGCCCTTTGGAGGTCGAGGCTGGTGGATTACCTGAGGTAAGGAGTTCGAGACCAGCCTGACCAACATGGAGAAACTCCATCTCTATTAAAAATACAAAAATTAACGGTGCAGTGGCGGACACCTATAATTCCAGCTACTCGGGAGGCTGGGGCAGGAGAACTACTTGAACCTGGGAGCAGTGAGCAGAGATTGCACCATTGCACTCCAGCCTGGGCAACAAGAGTGAAACTCCATCTTGGAAAAAAAAGAAAAAGAAAAAGAAAAGAAAAACAGGCTGGGCATGGTGGCTCACGTCCGTAATCCCAGCACTTTGGGAGGCTGAGGCGGGCAGATCACGAGGTCAGGAGATCGAGACCATCCTGGCCAACATGGTGAAACCCTGTCTCTACTAAAAATACAAAAATTAATTGAGTGTAGTGGCATGTGCCTGTAGTCCCACCTACTCAGAAGGATGAGGCAGGAGAATTGCTTGAACCCGGGAGGCCGAGGTTGCAGTGAGCTGAGATGGTGCCACTGCACCCCAGCCTGGTGACAGAGTGAGACTCCATCTCAACAACGAAAAACAAACAAACAAAAAAACAAAAAGCATTCCTGGCTGGGCACAGTGGCTCACACCTAAGATTCTAGTGCTTTGAGAGGCCCAGGAGGGAAAATCACCTGAGGTCAGGAGTTCGAGACCAGCCTGGCCAATATGATGAAACTCTGTCTCTACTAAAAATACCAAAAAAATTAGCCAGTTCTGGTGGCGGGCGCCTGTAGTCAGCTACTCAGGAGGCTGAGGCAGGAGAATTTCACTTAAACCGGGGAGGTAGGGGTTGCAGTGAGCCAAGATCGCGCCATTGCACTTCAGCCTGGGGACCAAAGCAAGACTCCATCTCAAAAAGAACAAGAAAAACATATTTCCTCTTTCAGCCATGTTGAGTTTTTGCGACAGTGCTGCAAGCAGATAACATGGTCCAATGGAAACAGGCTGGGTTTCTGTAGCACGCGCCTTCATTTTGGAAGGGCTCAGGCATCCCACGTCCTCAGATGGGCCTGCTCACACCCGTGGTGTGGTTTCTACCAGCCCAGTGGCCGAGGGTCTGGGATTGTGTGTGGTAGCCTTGATCGTGTACTGAGGTTGCAGACAGTGAACATAGCACCATTTGGACATCGTGGATTAGAATGCAGGAGTTTCCCAAGGCTGCTCTGACAAACGACCTCAAGCTAGTGGCTGGAAACCACATATTTATTTATTGTTTTGTAGACAGTCTCACTCTGTCGCCCCGGCTGGAGTACGGTGGCTCCATCTCAGCTCACTGCAACCTCCGCTTCCGGGGTTCAAGTGATTCTCCTGCCTCAATCTTTCAAGTAGCTGGGATGATAGGCACACACCACCATGCCCAGCTAATTTTTGTATTTTTAGTAGAGAAGGGGTTTCACCATGTTCATCAGGCTGATCTGGAACTCCTGACCTCTAGCGATCTGCCCGCCTTGGCCTCCCAAAGTGCTGGCATTCCAGGCGTGAGCCATCATGCCCGGCCCACACATTTCTTATCTTACAGTTTGGGAGGTGAGAAGTCTGAAATAAATTTTAGGGGCAGGGCAGGCTCTAAGAGTCTGTTTCTTACTTTTTCTAGCCACCCGAGGCTGCCCAGCTTTCTTACCTCTTGACCTGATCATTCCAAAGCCTGCTTCCACTTTCCCATTACCTTTGACTTTGACCTTTTCATATGCCTCTTTCACTTATTAGGACCTCTTAAGAACATTGGGGCCACCTGGATCTCCCAGGAGACGCTCCCCAACTCAAAATCATTAACGTAATCACACCTTCGAAAATGCAAAGTCCTTTTAGCTTTATCAGGCACAGATCCTGGGGCTGAGGACATGGGGTCTACAGGCGCCTACCTTTGGGGGTCATGATTCTGTCTTTTATGTGGGGACACAGCTGAAGTCCTGCTGACCAGATAGAGGAGGCTTAATAGAATGCCGAAGAAACTGTTATAAAAAGCTAAGTGGGAACTCAACGTTTTTCTGCTCACAGATCTCCAGCTAAAGACCAAAGTCCTCCCCGGTGGCCTTCAAGGTATTATATATCACCCCTCTGACCTCAGCTCCCCCTCCCCTTTGCTCAGTGGGCCCCAACCACAGCAGCCCCTTCCTGCTCCCTAGACACCTCTAAGCCTTTTCCGGCCTCTGGGTTTGACCTTCCCTCCTAGACCCATCTGTCCTTGGAGTTTCATGCTCCCATCCCAGCTCAAATGTCACCTCTTCCGCGAGGCCCACCGCAGTGGCCCCAATGAGAGAGTATTCTCTCTCCCCGCCCCCCCTCCACGTGGCCGCTGGTCCCTTTCTCCTATAAGGAATCGTCTGAAATTATCTGATTTATTTATTCATTTCTTGCCTGTCTCCCCCAGATAGGAATTTTCCCTCCCTGAGACCACCAGCTGGGTCTGCCATGTACACTGCTGGGCCCCGCAGCTCTGAGCAACCTGTCCCGCTGCTTTGTAGGTGTCTAGCCACGGGTGACTCGTGTGCCCGCCAGGACTGGTCAGAGTGGAATAGACAGGGCGGAGGGGGCAGGGCGGCCCTGCCCGCCTGGACTGCTCGGAGAAGGCGGGAAAACGAGGCGGGGGGTGGAAAAGACAGCATATAAGCCCTGCCGGTGGGTAGGGTGGGGAGCGTTGGCAGGACCTGATGCCAGGCAGTGGGGCTTGAGGCAATCAGGCCAGCCATCAGGGTGCAGGTGGTCTCCTGGGGGCCCCCCACATTCCCTCGCAGTCTTTCCACATTGATTCTGGCCTTCTTAGACCTACTGGTCAATGCGTGCCTGAGTGGGGGGCTGCGAACGGACTTGGACTTAAGAGGTCTGTACCCTGGGGGTCCCCAAGGCTCCTAGGGGGGCCCCACGTGCGGGGGGTGACCAGGCCCTGCCACGCAGCCCCTTTGCCCGCTGGGCGCGCCCAGCAGAGCGCGCAGGGCTGGGAGGAGCCGCGGCCCGCTGGGCGGAGGCGCCGTGGACAGAGGCGGGGGCGCCCCCCACCCTCTTTCTCGCTTCCCGCCACTGCGCCGGCCAATCAGGAGGCAGGCGCCCGCCCCCGGCACGGCCTCTTGCGGCCCCGCAACTCCCAAATGCCGAGTTTTCGCGGGAAAAAAATCAGAGCAGCTGGCAGCGCGGCGGGCAGCGTTTGCCGAGCGGGCACTTCGAGTCGCACGCACGTCCGCGCGGGGTCCGGGCCACGCACGCGGCTCCATCACCATCCCCAGCCGGGCCAGGCGCGCAGGCAGACGAGGGGTTCGCGGTGACCGGAGAGGTGAGCCGGCCGGCCGGGTCGGGGTACCAGCCCGGGCCGGGCACACGGGGCTCGGGGACTTTGCAAAACTTTCCCGCGCTACCAGTGCGGGCGCGCGCGGGTACCGCACACTGTCCCGGGATCCAGGGCCTCCCCTTCCGCCTAACGCTCGGGGGTCTCTCCCCGGCACACACCCGGCTCCAGCCGGGAGCAGCGGAGCGGGGCGGGGGGGGTCGAGCGCGCCGGGTGGGGGAGGTCCCGGCGAGCGGCCGGGGAGGATGTCAGGCTCCGCGCCTGCGCGCGGGGTGCCCCGCGATTCAATTGTCGCGCCCGAGCCCGATTTCGCGCGCCCTGAGTTCCCCGGGCGCGTCTGGGCCAATGGGGAGCGAGCGGGGCGGGGCGGCCGGGTGCGGCGCAGCCAATAAGAGGCGACTCAAGTGAAGGGAGGCGGGACTTGACGAGCTGGGCCCCTCGGTCGTCCCGGAGCGCGGGGGTGGGCGTGGGCTCGATAGCGCGATCCGCGCGGACCGGTGGGAGTGCGGGAGGGACGCCGGGGGTTTGGGGTCCGGGACAAGGCAAGCCACAGGGGGTTGGGGGTCGAGGTGAGTCTCGGGGCGCGCGCGCGGAGGGGGGGACGGGACGGGGCGGGGCGGCCGGTTGCCATGGCCACCGCGGGGCGGGCCCGGTCGCGCACGCGCGCGGGGGGGGCAGTAAGGGGGGGGCGCGGGCACCCGAGGGGTCCCGGGGCCTGCGGGTCTCGGGTGGGATCCTTCCGTCTCAGTCGTACTTGGCTGAGTTCCCCCGGGACTTCTGAAGTTCCAGCCCACGCTGGACTTTTGGGATTCCCTCTTCCGTAAATAGGAATCCGAGGAATGAATGAATCAATGAATGAATGAATAAACGAACCAACTGGGCCACTTGGCCCAGGCCTCCTTCCTCCTCTGCTCGTGGGTGTTCTCCTCTGGGAAGGAGGGGTGGGGTGGGTTGGGTGGTCTGAGATCCCTTTTGCTCTCCTTTCAATTCCGTCTTTTCAGTCTCCTCCGTCCTCAGTCTTCAACACTTGGCTAGTCCTTAATGCATGAAGTCCTTTATTTACTGTGTCTGGCCCTGGCCGGGGTCTGGCTGTATATGGAAACTGGGAGGGCATCCTGGGAGTTTCCTGGTGTCCACAGACAGGACAAAAGCCACCCCAACTCCTTAGAGCATGGCATGGCTTGGAGGTGCTGGTGAAACTGATCTGAGGTTTTTGCTGTCCCTCCCCTCAGCGCCGACACCATGTGGATCCAGGTTCGGACCATGGACGGGAGGCAAACCCACACGGTGGACTCGCTGTCCAGGCTAACCAAGGTGGAGGAGCTGCGGCGGAAGATCCAGGAGCTGTTCCACGTGGAGCCAGGCTTGCAGAGGCTGTTCTACAGAGGCAAACAGGTACACCCGCCTCCAGCACCTTTGTTCTGTGCCTGGTCCAGGCCCCGCGCTTCTGCAGCCACCACCGATACTTTCTCCCCCCGCCCACCTCCCCCCCCAGCCTCGTCCGGTCCCACTTCACCTCTCCCGGAAGAAGTCCACAGAAACCTCAAATGCCTGCTAGAGGAAGGAACAAAGGCAGGACTCGCAGATTGACACGCTGGGCTGGCGGCTGGCCTTCGAATCTAGAGAGTCAGGGCTTTTAAACTTTCTGCTTTTTTTTTTAAAGCTCTCCTTGAAAATAATGGTTAGAGAAAGAAGTTTTGGAGGTGGCCGAAGGAAGGCTGAGGAATTTTCGAGAAAGGGCCCAGGACCTATCCCGTAGCTAGGACGGAATTGACCAGGTTTTCCTTTTTAAACATCCACCACTGATGGCTCACAGCCTGTGCGGGTTAAGCGTCAGACCCCCAGAGTGTTTTTTTCTAGAAATTTGGATTAGCTTATTCAGAGTCTGGGGATGGCGCTTGCTAATCAGGAATTTCCGCCACTCTGGGCCTGCTGTGCTGCCGCTGCTGGTGACCTGGGGCGTGTGGTCCCCGAGGGGTCTGCTGGCCCGCCTGTGTCTCCCTCCGATTCTGTTCTTTCCCAAGCCCCTCGTTGCGTTTAAAATGGCCACCTTCGATTTCGTAGCTGCCACGTTTGGGATGCTTCCTCCATTGACACCTGGGGTGGGGGGGTGTTCTACTTTGGTTGGTGTCTTTGTTGGGGGACTGTGGGCACCTCCTTCGAGTGTGGTTTCCCGGCAGGATGAGACGGTGTGATCGAAGGTGTGGGTCCCGTCAGCTGGAGTTGGTTGGATGGTGAGGACGGGTGTAGACGGCTGGAACTGGATTAGAAGTCGTCAGTTGGGCTGCGTGTACCCCACTGTGTTGTTGGATTTTGAACCGGGTACTGCTGCCATCTGGTGTCTAGGTTGGAAAGTAAACACCGCCCCGGGCCAGGTTTTTTGGGGGCTGGGAGGTTCCTGCCTGCTCACTCCAGATGAGACCTGATGATTAATTTCTCTGGCTTGTGAACCATAGGAGACCTTCCTTAGTCCTCTTCCCGTAAGAGACATGATGACTTGAGTCTTAAGAATCTGAGTTAACCTGCCCTGCCCTAGTCGAGAGAACTTGGGGAGCAGACAGTATAGCCGCGTGCGTGTGCGCTGGGAGAGGCTGGGGAGAGGCAGGGCCGGGCTCCACCGAGGAGCTCCGCCTGGCGCTCTCTTCCTCCCTCCTCCTGCCATGCGTGCTTCCTTTGTGCCTTCCAAACTGATTTTGATTTGCCGCTCGGTCTATTGGGTCAGCACAGGAGGCTTCATTTCACTTGGGACCTGCTAAGTTCATGGCTTAGCTCAATGGCAGGTTGGACTCTCACCTCCCAAATCCAGGAGAGGGGATGATGCTGAGGACGCACTCTGAGCCAGCGACGGAGCTAGCATTTTAATTCTTGCATTTTAACCATAGACGAAAGGGAAGAACATGGAAACACAACTGCCATGTAGATTTTACCATCGGCATTCTGACGTTATGAGTTTTCTCATGAAGCCCTCTCTGTCTTTCTGTTCATCACTCCATCCTATTAGGATGCATTTCAAAGTAAATTGCAGACAGCACTCCGCCTTACCCTTCCTTACTGCAGCCACACCATCAGTAACTAGAGTTCAGTATTTGTTTTTGGTTCTATTCTCATTGATTTTTTTTTTTTTTCTTTTTGAGACAGGATCTTACTCTGCCCAGGCTGGTGCTGTGGCACAGTCCCAGCTCACTACAGCCTCAACCTCCTGGGCTCAAGCAGTCCTCCTGCCTCAGCCTCCAGAGTAGCTAGGACTATAGGCGTGTACTACCTTGCCTGGCTAATCTTTGTATCTTTTGTGGAGATGGGGTCTTTTTTTTTTTTTTTTTTTTTTTTTTTGAGACAGTCTTGCTTTGTCGCCAGCACCAGGCTGGAGTGGCGTGAACTCAGCTCACTGCAACCTCCGCCTCCTGGGTTCAAGTGATTCTCCTGCCTCAGCCTCTAGCTGGGACTACAGGCACATGCCACCACGCCCAGCTAATTTTTGTATTTTTAGTAGAGATGGGGTTTCGCCATGTTGGCCAGGATGGTCTCAGTCTCTTAACCTTGTGATCCGCCTGCCTCGGCCTCCCAAAGTGCTGGGATTACAGGCGTGAGCCACCGCGCCTGTCGAGATGGGGTTTTCTGTTACCCAGGGTGGTCTCATGGGGTCAAGTGACCCTCCTGCCTCGGTCTCCCATAGTGTTGGGGTTACAGGCGTGAGGTTCCATGTCTGGCGTAAAAACTTTGTATACAGTGAAACGGGTGTTAGGCAGACCATTTGAATAATTTTGACAAATGTCTACATCCATGTAACCCAAAACCCCTGTCTGCTTTCATTTGTAACATAATACTTGATTCATACAATAGTGTCTGCCACATCTCTAAGTTTAGTGTGACAATGACAGGAACACGTATAACACGTATGTTAATGAGACACACACGTTGTGCTTTTTTTTTTTTTTTTTTCCTCTGGAGGCAGAGTATCGTTCTTGCCCAGGCTAGAGTGCAATGGTTCGACCTCAGCTCACTGCAACCTTCACCTCCCAGGTTCAAACGATTCTCCTGCCTCGCTTCCCGAGTAGCTGGGATTACTGGCGGCCACCGCCACGCCTGGATAATTGTTTTGTATTTTTAGTAGTGACGGAGTTTCCCTATGTTGGCCAGGCTGGTCTCAAATTCCTGACCTCAGGTGATCCACCTACCTTGACCTCCCCAGGTGCTGGGATTACAGGTGTGAACCACTGCGCTCAGCCACGTGTATTGTGCTTCTGTCAGGATGTCAGCAGTGATGATACCTGGCCCTAGCCCTGCTGAACTCAGCAGGACCGAACAGGGAACTGGGATTTGAACCTGGGACTTTATAGTTTCTGAGGCTGGGCTCGCAACATGAAATGCGTCTCCCAGGTCAGCTCTGGTAGTTATGAAAAGACTCCGTGTTCCTATGTAACCTTCACGACCGCCTCTTAGTCCCCTTCCCCTGTGGCTGTTTCCCACAATGTAGCTTTTTTTTTTTTTTTTTTTTTTTTTTTTTTTTTTTTTTTGAGACGGAGTTTCGCTCTTGTTACCCAGGCTGGAGTGCAATGGTGCGATCTCGGCTCACCGCAACCTCCGCCTCCTGGGTTCAGGCAATTCTCCTGCCTCAGCCTCCTGAGTAGCTGGGATTACAGGCACGCGCCACCATGCCCAGCTGTTTTTTTTGTATTTTTAGTAGAGACGGGGTTTCACCATGTTGACCAGGATGGTCTCGATCTCTTGACCTTGTGATCCACCCGCCTCGGCCTCCCAAAGTGCTGGGATTACAGGCTTGAGCCACCGCGCCCGGCCCACAATGTAGCTTTGAAGAGACCGTGTCGTTGCTTCTGTCTTCCGGGCCTCAGAAATTGCATCAGTGATGAAATTTCCCCACATTGACGGCTGGGAAAGGGACCTGGCTGCAGGGAGGTCCGGACAGGACAGCAGCCGGAAGTGGGGACGCAGGCACCCAGCAGCCCCTCGCCGCTCCTGAAGTCTGCAGGAGCCCAGGCTAATGTGATAGAAAGCAATGTGATTCCCAGTGGGCACTAATGGGCTATTGTCTTCACTCATGTTCTAGAGTAGGCCGGTGCGGTGGCTCATGCCTGTAATCCGAGCACTTTGGGAGGCCAAGGCAGGTGGATCACTTGAGGTCAAGAGTTCGGGACCAGCCTGGCTAACATGGTGAAACCCTGTCTGTACTAAAAATACAAAAATTAGTCAGGCACGGTAGATTAGGTGCCTGTCATCCCAGCTACTCGGGAGGCTGAGGCAGGAGAATGGCTTGAACCTGGGGAGGCGGAAGTTGCAATGAGCTGAGATCGCACCACTGCACTCCAGCCTGGGCGAAAGAGAGAAACTCAGTCTCAAAACCAAAAAAAAGAATGTTCTAGAGTCTTTGTAATCTTTTTTTTTTGCTGCTTACAGAAACCTGGCCTAGTGGCCCAAGGTCTGTAGTGAGGTGGATGGAGACCTCGGAGCAGAAGAGAGTTGGGTTTGCCCTGGAACATGAGGGGTCCTGTGCTGGTCACACTTGGGCTGAATAGGGTGGCGGTGATGTCGCTTGATTGGCGGAAAGGCAGGGAGCTGATGGGGCAGCCGGCCCCTGCCTAGGCAACGGGAGAGGCTTCTGTGGCACCTCCCAAT